TATTAATATGTTATTTCTCATCAATTCATCAAGAGCAACTGTGATTTTGTATAGGAAGACTGCCATTCTAAAACCAGTAATGCACATGGGAAAGCAGGGTATTAATAAAGAGTTTTGGCCCTGTGTTCTGCAGGAGCATAAATAGGGAGGATTAGAAGGAAACTTCAAACTCTTGGAAATTTTACTCCTAGCGAAATGTCACAGAATTGAAATTAAGCTGAAAGTTACACAAAGTTGTTTACAAAAGCAGTTGGATGAATGAATGGATTTTGAGTTCTGTCTTTGCAAACATGATACGATTTCCTTTGCACTCATATCCTTTTTTAAAGTAATCTGAAAAAAAAGAAAACCCAACCACTTGTTCATCTTGTTTTTAAGCACTCTTTGTTCATATTCTTTTAAACATGTTTAGAGATCATTGTACACCCAGAAAGCAGAGCACTGGATTTTATCACTTGTGTGCCATGTAGATGTATGTCTGGCTGTGATTTTTCTGCTTTGTACATTGTTCTCCCTGTAGCACATTGCAAACAGTTTGTACTTAAATTCTACTGCTGCAAAATATTAATATGTTGTCCTTTATTTTGGCAAGCTGTAAAGATGCAGAAATCTTAATGGACGTGAAAGCATGAAAAGGAAGCCATTGTTCAACCAAGTGTAGCTTTCATTCATTCTGTAACTCTGTAATAAATGCAAGATGTTAAAAGGAAAGGAGCCAAATATTAGTGTGGTCCTGAGAGACCAAACAAATAATGGAGCTACTTAAATTTGTCATTCTTCTTTCGTGATTATAGTCAAAATCTAAAATGTACACAGATGCCATTTCTGTATGGATAGTTTTGGGTTTTGAGCATAGTTAAATCTTTTTGTAATGTTTATAATATAACAGTTTCCTTTTTTTCTTTTTTGTAAAGGAGTTTGTGAGTTTTTAAAATGGAAGTCCAGCAGGCAGTCAGCACTGCAGAGTGCAAGGAATCGCTGATTCCTTGGAGAGCTGCTGCATTGGCAGGGGCTCTTAGCTGGTCAGTTCTGTGGGCAAGGTGCCAGCTTGGAGTGGCACACACAAGTCTGGTGGCAGTGGCAGTAATTTCCCTTTCACACAGGCATGTCATGGTTTGCAGTGACTCTGGTTTTTGAAGACAAGGGGATTCAAGCATTAATATCTGAGCCTCAGCTACTCTGGGGCACAAATAATCCTCTGTGAGCAGCAGTATCTGGTGTTTAGGTTGCCTTTGTTTTGGTGAAATTGTTTCCATGCTAATATTCCCCTGTTGGATCCCTGGAAAAAAAGGAATGTAGGTTTGGGCTAAATCATAATCCAGCAAGTTGGAGGTTGCTAACCTTGCCTAATGCTCTCCATCTGAAGCCCACAGCTGCTTGCAGAACAGGGATCTCAATAGCTGGTTTAGGACTTGCACGAGTGAGGAAAGCAAATGAACCTGCTCTGAGCATGGCTATCACATGTCAGGCCAGATTTTCTTGGAAAACTCCTATCCATGTGTGTTCCCTGAGACCACATCTGCTGCCTTCCATGCACTGCAAGAAATCCAGGGCTCATGAGATGCAGGCAGCCCTGAGTGCAGGCTGACACCAGCCCGTGCACTTCACTGTGTCCTCTGCTCCTGCCTTGAGATGGTGCTGCTCTTTGTCTCAGAGCCTGACAGAATAAACACAGCCAGAAAGACTTGTGTGGCAGAAAGAGTGGCAAATGGATGTGTGGTAATTCTGCATCTTGGGCTCTTGTCTGGAGTATAAAGCTGCAGGAGGAGAAGTGGTGGTCTGGACACAAACTTGGAGAGCTGTTGCACTTGATTAGACTAAAATAGAGGTGACAGCAGTTAAAAAACTCCAGCAGCTCTTCCTGCTGAAGGGAGGTCGTGCAAGTTGGTGAATGAGGTGTTTATGTGACATGAGAAACTTAAGATCTGCCTGTTTTTCCCCAAGTGGACCCCCAGTGGTGGAAAAATAGAGGAGATATTTGGAGAATGCTGGTACACTGGCACTGAGCAGATTGACACATTCCTCCTACATCTGTTTCTCCCCGTAGCACTATTCTTTAGCAGAAACTTCAATTATTGCAGCACTTTCATTAAGTAGTCACCAGTGTGGGCGTTCAAAATTCAAAACTAACTGTTGTTTCACTTTTCCTGTGGTATTAAATCAAAAAAGGGACTTCTCAGCACCGTGGGAACAAACCTTGCTTTCCACCTTCCTGTTTGTTTACGAGTGGAAGACAACCTCCAAATTTGATGTCTTCATCAAATGTTGGATTACTTCAGTTAAGGCTTATTTCTGTTGAGAATTGATATATTTGCAATATATTCCATGCTGCTGGTAGGGTTATGTTGAAGCCAAAGGCAGTAAAAGATGAATGAATAATTCTCCCAGTGTATCTTTGAACTTAGAATTCATCTTTTTGTGAGTTCATAACTGTCTGAAGTTTGCTGTATTTGACAGCACAGATGAGAAGCTGGTTTTGCAGATAGTGGTAAACCTTCCTTGGAGTTTAGAAACTCTGTACAAAGTACCACACAAAGTGCACTAAAAAGCACATAATTAGTCACTTCAGCAGCTCCTGCCCTGTACAGCCACAATTCAAGCTGTCCATTGTTGCCACATCATTTGACTGCATGAAACCCTGTTATTTCTGATTTAAAGAACAGAGCTTCTGATTTAAGAACAGAAATTTGGTTGCCTCAAAGATCTCTTAATGCCTTAACATTGAGAAAGGACCTGCATATTTCCTTCTGAAATGTAATTGCCTGCAGGCACGAATCACATTTGTGTCTGACCAGTGGTTATAAGGAAGCAGATGATGCCTTGCAGGGTTTGCAGCACATCTCTAATCACCAGCAGTATTTTTGTGCCGTGTTTTTGGTGTGAGGACTCTGTCTGAAGGAGGAATGAAGCTATTTGCCATGACAGTTTTTTCCATACACAATGAAAAATAAATGTCACTATTACATATGATTTCATACTTGTCTCAGAATAATGTAGAATTTTATTTAATTGAATGCAGAGTTTTCACAGTTAAGAGATTTGAGAATAAAATGCTACATGGTTTCTAGCCTACAATCAAGTATCCCAGGAATCTGCTGAAATCTCTTTTTTTTTTTAATGTATGCTGGATATTTTGCTCATATGTTTTGCTGAAGCTTTTATTTTCTCGGGAAAATAACGACATTAGCACATTCATAAATGAATTTTATTTAGTTTTCACGTAAGGAGAGCCATGCCTGCATATCTGCCTTTGTAGATATGGAAGGTAGAGTGTAAGATTGATGGCATTGTAGACAACAGTCCCTGCTCCCATCATTTGAGGCTAAGCTGAATATCTGTAAGGGACTGTGCATAGGGAGGAAGCTTAAACACCTGTGATTATGTTTTGTAATATTTCTATTGAGTTTTTAGTATGATAAGAATGATGTTTTGGTTTCCTTTGGAAATAAACATACAGAGTTGATGTGGCAAACAAAATACCCTTTTAATAGTGTGTAGTAGCACACAACAAACTGCACTACAGTTTAGATTGTGTCAAGATTTATATTCTGGATTGAATTTTCAGAACTGTTGTCAGCTCTGCAAGTCTGCTTCAGTCTGAAACTTGGCAAGGTGTTTTCTGACAAGAAGGTACTGTCATCTTTTTCAACTCGAGTGTATCTGGTTTCTGAATTTCTAGGAATTTATAAGCACTTCCAGAGCGTTAGTTGCTGTAGTACCAGTGTGAGTGCTGAAGTGATTTTTCTGCAGCGTGTGTGTGCAAAATGCTGCTGATTAATGTGCAGTGAGATATGCTGTGTTATGTGTTTCGGTCAGGCACACAGTGTGGTAAAAGGGATTGTAATGCTTGTGAGGACAGGCGAGTGAGCTGCCCGGGGAGCTGCCACAGGGAGGGCAGGGCACGGGCTGTGCTGCAGGGCTGGCCCAGTGAGTGCTGATCTGGGGCTGTGTATTGTGTCTGCTCCTTTGTGGGGCTGATCTCTGGGCAGGGAATCACACAGCCATGCTGCCATGAATGGAGAGGAGGATTAGACCAAACCCCATTATCTGGCCAGGCCTCGGGAGGTGTGGAGTGACAGAACTCCTGCCTCGGCTGGGACTGCTCGCCACCCGGAGGAGTGCAAGGATGATTTATGTCAGAGGCTTTTTGTTGGAGAGCTTCCAAAGAAAGCAGTGGGAATGGTGTGGATTACTGTCTTCTGTGTCATTAAAAATAATCTGGAAAACTGATCCCTTCCTTGCCCTGTCCATGAATTCTAGCACCCCAGTCAGTGGTTTGGGTTTATAATACTTTCCATGTGCCATTTGAAATGTGTTAACTGTGGAACTCCTTAAATATTGTTTTTTCTTAGGCTGCTCAGAAATGGTGTAGTTAAAGGAGATAATATTTTCCTGATTTGGTTACTTCACTTTGATTTTGGGTCATGGTGGACATGATGTCAAGTCCTCCCCAACCACTGGCTGGTGTCCAGACATGGCCAGTGTTAATGGGGAGTGAATTTATTCACACAGCATCTTTGCCTTCATCTTGGAGTTGTGCTTTGCAAGAAGTGCCTCTCAGCCAGCTACTCAAGCACTGTGAAACAAAACCTTCAGCTTCTGTTTGTATTCAGTTGCCTCACAGTTGAGCAGAGGGATGCTTTGGAAGTGTACCCAGCTGAACTGCCCAAATGCAGTGCGAGTTCTAAAAACCATCTTACGCAACCCCGGCCTGGAATCTGTGAGTCGTTGTAGGATCAGGGTATGGCTAGTGAGAGCAGAGTCACCTTTTTAAAGAAAAACTGTTGTGTGTTATGTGTTGCCTTCATTATGCCCAGGCAATCCTTTGGGGTCCCTTTAATCCCATTACTGTTCAAAGCTGTATGACCTATTATTGTATTCATGTTGCAGATTTATGTAACTGTTGATGTTCCTGTTCAGGACAGTGTTAGTCCTGTGACTGAGATTTCAGGTGCCTGCCATTAACCTCGAGTTCTTTCTCTCCCCTGCCCCCTTTTTAGAGGCCTTTGAGTCTTTGCTTCGCTTTGCTGAAAACCGCACAAGTTCCCTGTTTGAGACAGCTTACAGACCTATGGCAAAAGAAGCAGCAGAGCCTGTTAAGGAGCTTTTTACAGACATCTCTCTCTACATTCTGGGCGCAGAGACCACAGTGGAAAGTGCAGTACTGCGGTTCTTTGACAGTCTCTTTCCCCTGGTGTACAGCCGGCTAATAAACCCAGGAATTACAGATCTGTCAGAGGACTACACAGAGTGTCTGCGGCTTACGAGGCAAGACATAAATCCTTTTGGACACTATTCTAAAAACATGGTTACAGAGCTGTCAAAATCCCTTTGGGCCAGCAGGATGCTGAGCCAGGCCCTGAGCCTGGGCATTGAAGTGATAAATACAACAGAGCACGCCGCCGTGAGCAAGGAGTGCAGCCGAGCCCTGGTGAAGATGCAGTACTGCCCGCACTGCCAGGGCCTGACGCTCATCCGGCCCTGCGTGGGATACTGCCTCAATGTCATGAGGGGCTGCCTGGCCAGCGTGGCCGAGCTGGATGCACACTGGAGACACTTCATCTCCACGCTGGAATACCTGGCTAATGAAATGGCAGCGTCACACGAGCTGGAGATGGCCCTGTCGGGGATGTGGAGCTCCATCAACGAGGCCATCCTGCACGCACAGCTGAACGGCCCGCAGCTCTCGGCCACAGTGAGTGCCCTGCCACTGCCAGTAATGCTGATAAACATTCGAACAGATCGCTGTTGTCTTTGCAGCACTTGTTAGGCTTTAACTGGATCTGTGTTTAATAATCCATGCAGACTTTACTGAACCCCATCATAACTGTCTGTAGAGTCTGCTTTGACATGAAAGGGGTGGGGGGATTTGTTTCTTTAGAAGGAACACGGTAAAGCAGAGAGATCTGCCTTGTCTGCACGGTTTTCTAAACAAAAAATTGGGGTCTGTGATACTGGATATCAGTCAAGTGTTATACTGGCATGCAATTGTAGCATGTGGGGACATCCCACAGGATTTGGTAAAAGGGCTAGAAAAGTGAGCTTTTAAATAAAGGCAAAATATTTCACAATTTTACAGTCCCTTTAATTTAGTGCTGACTGAGACATCAGGAAGGTAGTGCAGGTCTGTAATAAGTACACCTATCATACAGAAATTGGGAAAAGAGCATGAAAAAATTCAAATTTATTTGGCAACATTTGCATAAGTGAAGGATAAAAATACACTCGAAGTGGAAACAGCTTAGTGAGTGGTGTAGATTAAGGGGAAAGAAGTAGGCTGGTAGAATTGTCACATAAATAATAGCAGCAAATGACTGACAGGTGTTCTCTCAAGGTGTTGAAGATTAGGCTAGAAATTACTGAAATGATTAATGATGCAGCTGACTACATCTGTATGAAGTTAATACAGCTGTCAGTGGAAAAAAATGTAGCAGTGTGTCCTTAAGTAGGATATAAAGACTAACCTAAAAAATGCTGATAAATCTGCCTGTCTTGAAAGTAAAGGAATTCTTCGAGAGAACAGAGATGGAAATGAACAAATTATATAACTTTGGTCACCACAGTGTGTAAGAGAAAAGGTAGTCTTGAGGGTCCACAGAGAGAAGCTGTGGTGGAGTCTGTTCTAAACAAAGGAAGGTTTTTTAATAGGAGAAAAATGCTTCTATGTTTGCAGCCTTCCAAAATCCCTGATATTGCAGCTCCCTTCACTGCAGAACACCTGACAGAGACATACTTAAGGTCAATATAAAGCATAAATTATAAAAAAAACCCAACTATTTGTTGTAATCTGATAGAGTTCCACTTGGTATTTTAGTTAAAACTCAGTTTGTATTGCCTCAATTTTCCTTTCCTTTTCATGAATGGCAAGCTTGCTAATTTATCTGATAATCCAAAGATAAACATGGAGAACCTCTAAGAAATTTGTCCAGGTTCTTGAGTAGTGGGTGGTGGGCACTGGAGCCTGCGTGTGCTGCAGGTCTGCCTTGTGCTGAGGTCTGTTTGGTGGTGCCACAGTGTGCCCCATGGAGGAGTGTTAAACTTACAACATGTCACAAACAATGCTCCTGTATCTGCCCCTATTTTCACTCAGAAGTTGTTTCTGTATGAGTCTAAAAGGGAATCAGAAATCAAAGTACACTATTACTATACATTGGTTTTATCTGACAATAGGTGGATACCTCTAAAATCATTGTAGA